AAGCAGGTGTAAGATCACCTGGGCAAGTTCAAAATTCCATTGATGCGTCCTTTGGAACCTGTTGGTTACAAAAAAGGTCTAGACACCTGTGCAGGACCAAGATCCGGTCCTGTTGTATTTAAGGCTACAACGCAAATAGTCGTAACCCAAAAAATTACATTTTTCAAAAGAGACATTGTGCTAAATGTATTATAAAAATGTATTTTTTCTCTTTCTATTTAGGCACCAAACTTTACATCATCATCAGCTCACTATACGTCCCCACCGAGGGGCTCGGCGCCTACCCAAAGTCACGAGTGACTTCACATGATTTAATTAATGCAAGGAAAAGGGATTGGCTCCTAAACCCATGGCAACTTAGTTCAGGAGACATGGTTTCAACCAAAATATATATAATGTCGCAATAAATATTTTATTTATTTACTAGCTGTCGCCCCCAACTCCATCCGCATGGAATTAAAAAAAAAACGTAATCAGTAGCCTATGTGTTCCTTCCGATTATGTTCTACATCTATGCCAAATTTTAGTGAGATCCATACAGCCGTTCTGTAGATACCTTCAAACAAACATCTATCTATTCAAACATTCGCATTTATATAATATACTAGCGGATCCGACAGACGTTGTCCTTTCTACACGTCTTTAATTTGAATAAATTAATATGAAGTTATTATTTGATGAAAATTGTGAATCTAAACCATTCCCAGATCCCCTTGAATACACAAAAAATTTCATCAAAATCGGTCCAGTCGTTTGAGAGAAGTTCAGAGACATACACACTCACAGAAGAATTATATATATAAAGATAGTATAGTATGTTAAGATTTTACGACAATGGATTAGTAGGAGACTAAATTCTAGTCAAATTTTTTAAACGTTCGTAAAATCTTATATTTAAACTATGAATCCAATAAAATAAAGATCTTGTTTTTAGTATAGTTCATAAAGCATGAAGTTAAATTTTGCACAAAAAAGCAGTTATGACAATATACATAGGATCCCTTTATTTACTGAACTCGTCCTTATAATATTAGGTTTACAAACTTGTCATTATATTTGATGAATGTACGTCGAAAGATATTTTTTAAAGGACGAGCTAATTCAAGATGCAATAAAGACTGGCTGATTTTGTCTACTAATATAAAATAAAAAGAAATTAATACTTTTTTTCTTACTGGCTGATACTCGCGAGTTCTTTTTCTTTTTTTTCTCTTATATTTCTTTTTTTTATTGAATTTCACCAGTATACATGAGCTATCTTTCATTAAAAGTCGCGTCAAAATCGATCTAACCGGAAATTACCCTGAACAAACGTGTACTTAGGGACAGAACATTTTTTATTTATACATTTTTTAAAAATGTTTTTCGTTATAACGCAAATGTGTACATCTTGTCATGTATGCATGAAATGTGACATTCGTATTACATGCAGACAGACCATCTTTATCGGCATTTTTATATATATGTTTCCACTTCAAAAACTCCATATAAAAGCTTTGTTAACTGTTTTTTTTAATAGATAACCTATCTCCGGTAGTTCAGGCATCCAGCCAGTGTGAAAATAAAAAAAAATAATCGTTTAGAAACGGCTGATTGACTACTGAACTTTGCTTGCATAACTTTATCTTTTGAAATGATAAAAAACATTCACCGGAAAGAAAAAAAAAGATAAAATGAATATTTTTTACTCTGTGCAATATCTTTGTAAGTGCAGACAGGAGGTGCAAAGTCTGTGGCGATAATTTTCACTATTGACATGTCTATTTTTGAATCTCTCGTCAACAGAACTGATATTGAATTGTAGGTTATAAAATTATTCAGTGGAAACTACACTTAACTCAGTTCAGTTCACTTAGTTCTACACTACAAGTGATCTTTTAGTAAGCAAACGTCTCTGAGTTATGTGCAGTTTCCACTATTAATTTAGTGTGGTCGTTTTGTCGAATGATGGTTTAAATTTACATACGTGTTATATTTTATATGTTTCTACATCTATATCAAACTTCAGCACGACGGCAGCCGTTTTGGAGATACCTTCTAAGAAACATCCAAACATTCGCATTTATAACATTACTAGTTGTCGCCTGCGACTCCGTCCGCGCGGAATTAAAAAAAACTTAGTTACTTTAGCCAAATTTCATCAAGATCAGTCGAGCCATTCCGGAGACGCATTCGCATTTATAATACTAGTAAGATTAAGATGTAATCGTTCATAATAGCTTCTATAATATTATTTTCATTAAAAAAATATCCTAGAATGTACGAGAACATCGTAAATGTCTTGACGTTCCCATAATTAACTTAAAACTTCAACCTTTTTGCCTCTTTATACCCACGGTGTTTTTTTTTGTCTGTACCTAATTGGAAAATAAAATTAAGTTCACAATTGCATGTATGGCAACATTGTAGTTGTATATTTAATCTGCGTACTTCGGAACGGTCATTATTTCCTTCTGTAAACTACGAATTAAGTAAATAAAATAACAAGTATGATTATTAGCATGCCGGAGAAGAATACGAATACAATAATACCTCACTCAGGGTCGGCGTTAGAGTGGGGGACAGTCAGGCGACCGCCCAGGGCGCTGGACAGATAGGGGCGCCACATGTCTGCGAATTACAATCTCACGTAACCTTATTAACCCCCCAATGACCCCGTATTTTCACATATTTAAAAACCAATATAACTTCAAATTAAATTAATTAATTATTGTGACCTATATATGTATATTAAAGGAGAATTCTAAACGAAACTTTTACTATAACCCGCAACTTGAGACCTGCAGCGCCCACAAGGGGGCGTTATCGCCCACTTTGGGAAAGACTGCTCTAAATAATTGTTTAGTAGGTCTGTAGTAGCTGGGTGCAAAGGACCTAGCTGGGCGTTTGAGTTCCGAACGAAGATCCCGCCTCCTCTCGTTAGCGCCGGTCGCGACTGCAGTGGGGTTTTAGTCGGTGCAAGCCCAATATAACCAACCTCGTCCTTTCAAAGTTGGTATTATAAGGCTCAATGGTAGAAAATGAAAAATGTTACTCTAGTAATCTGTATGGCGAAAATAAATCAATGAAATGGTAATAATCTGGTATGGTTGAAAACGCTTCCTATTTAATTATATAAATAATTCAACCCAAAATGAATTCCGTTAAATCAACATACAATACAATCAAGAACAATATAAACGATCTTTTGTTCAATTAAAATTATCATATTATTCTTTAAATAAGTCGAATTTTTATTAGTTTACATGCATCAATAATTAAATTTATATAAAATCGCCAAAAACAAACACGGCAGAAAATTTAAAAACAAATTTAAATTTGTTGAAGGAATTGTAAAACCTATTGAGAAATTATAAAGTTGAAATTTAAAGAACAAAGGCTTTTCAAGTGAAACATTTGATTACATATTTGTTCCAGATAAACTCAAAAACTACAATGTGCAACTATTAAACTACTAGCTAACTATCTCTCCTAATTACATCAGAAAGTAACCTATATATAGATTTCTTATTTGTGTATCTTTTTACACAAGCAAAGTCAGGGTCACAACAATGCATGTTGTTACAAAAATTATATTACTTTACAAATAATGCAAGGAATCTTTTATTAAGAATTATGACCAAATTTCAACCAATGGTTGATCACTAGTTTATAGTAAATATGCTATTAAATAGTTAGCAAAAACAGTTGAACTGGTTAAGCAAAAGTTCTAGGGACCTCAATATTTTTCTCACTTATGTGTCTCTCTAATTGGAGTTTCCTGCTTATGGAGGTTGTACTTTGGGACCAGACAATGATTGTCACTTATGCAAGGTTGCCTGTATAAGTTTTGATTAAAGCAAATAATTTAAGAAGACAAAATCGTTTGAAAATATTGTTTTAGTACCATGGACTTTGGTAGATTGTAATAGTTAATAAACCACATAAGCAACAAGTTTTTTATACTTAATAATTATAAAAACTTAATTGTTACAAGGTTATATGTTAGATATTTTCATATGATTCGTATTAGTCTAATATATAGGTATAATCTGTTTTTATCATATCAAACCGGAAATTAACCATTGAGAAAAAACTACCTTATATTTTTATTTTTCTGTGTCGCTCATTATTTGTATATATAATCTAATACTTACCTATAATGTCATAAAGACTCGCAGTATAATTATCCACGAAATACGAAAGATAACTCATTTTACTTTAACAGCTGATCTTAAAGTTCGAAAGATTCAAAGTTCCACTTCGCTAATAATGTTCTTTAACTACATTTAAGGTTAAATCACGCGTCACCCATAACACATATGTATTCAATATTTAATTATAAAAGGAAACTATGAAGTTTTTATTATTCTATACACAATTAACAAAATAATAATAGTTGAGACAAAGTTGAGACAATCGAATCGGCCCACGATCATTTGACATTGACAGTTGACAGCAAACCATAAATTTGGTAAATTCAAAAGTTATAAAATTTCTACAGTTTATAGAAGTAACTATTTTCTTTAGTATTAATACGATAATAAAATACCATTTTTAGCTTCAAATTTTATAATAGCTAAAAGCAAGTTATAATTTTAAGTTGAATATTGTTATAAAAATAATAAGTGGGCAAAAGCTACGCAATTCCTATTTGACATTGACATTTACCGTTTGTAATTTTTAGGTTAAATTGTTGATTCGCAATTTTGATTTCAGCCGGCAAATAGTTTGCAATAAATAATATATCATGAAATCTATGTTAAGAGTTGTTTTATCGAGAAATGTGCCATTTGCACGTATTAACATTATTCGATTTGCGTCGAACGATGCCAAAAAACAAGAGCAGGAACCACAAAAAGTTGAAGAAATTGTTAAAAGTATGTAATATTCAACTTAACTCGTTTTTATTAAGTGTTTAATTTTGTATATAGTAGTGGCTGACTAAAATAAGCTGAAAAACGAGCGACAAATGACGATAAAAATTATATCTACTTAGTATCTTGCTCAGTTTAGTTCCAATTGCGACTGCGAAGATCAGGCTCACTATTATAGTATAATTGTAATTACTTTGGTCACGATTCTATTAAAAACATTCTCTCATATATATGATTTGATTTCATATCAATAATATAGGATTTCTCTTTCAGACATTACTATTGAGAAATATGGTGGTATCACAACATTAAACATAGATCGTCAGAAGTCAAGGAACAGTCTGGATGAAGCTACACTCCATGAAATGACAGCCGCAATAAATGCTTTCGATAAAGACCCAGAGTCCAAAGTACTGGTCTTCAATGGTGAAGGTGGGACATTCTGCTCTGGTTTTGACCTTGATGAGATGGGATCCAAAGGTTATAATATTCTTCGAGATGCAGCTGTAAGTTAAGAAAAATGTTATATATTATTTAAATGTTTTTTTTTAATGTCAACTTTCACTTATTGTTCCACCATAACTTTTTACTCCCATTATGAAAATTGTCTATAGTTTTTCCAGTTTGCATAAGCCAGAACTCAATAATGAATTAATCACAATTTCTTTCCCCCTGAAAACTTCCACTTCAAAACTAGACAGCGTTAACTAATAAGCTATATGCAAGTGTATATTTATTTGTTTTATAGTGATTTCCTTTGGTTATTTTAGTCAAGACTTCTCAGACGACCTCTATGTGATAAGCCCACAATAGCAGCAGTAACAGGTTATGCTGTTGCTGAAGGATTTGAATTGGCATTAGCTTGTGATCTACGTGTTATTGAGGATACTGCTGTAGTTGGTTGTCTCGGCAGAAGATTTGGTGAGTTGAGTAAAATTGTTGGGTCACAATGTTACCATATCCCTATGGCTAGAAATGGCTTGACTAATTTTTATCAAATTTTATATGCAAAGTCAGTTTGTCTGTGAATTGTCTACTATCTATTTTTTAAACCCGCACCGACAGCTAGTATTTATATGTATTTATGTGAAATTTATAAGGTAATTGATGTAATTAATGGCTAATACACCCCATTTAAAACTATAGATTTCTTTAAACCTACTGTAGCTTTATTTATTCTTCAACTTTTGAATAATAAAATTATCTGCCATAAATATTGTCTTATTTCAGGGGTGCCACAAAGTATATATGGAGCCCGACGTCTGACAAGTCTGATAGGTCTGTCGCGAGCACTAGACCTGTTGATGACAGGTCGCCTGATAACTGGCACTGAAGCACATACAATGGGACTGGCCTGCAAACTTACTTCTACTGGAACAGGTAATTGTGCTATATCTCTTTAATATAATACTCCTATTTACCTTCCCACCTTCTTTCTTATAAGGAAAGGATGGGAAATGGAAGGGGATTTTCCGGATGAGAGGATGCACGATTAAAATTAGGCAACACATATGCAATTGTGTATGTTTATGGGCAATGGCCGCTTCGCTATTTCAGGTGGCCACTTCCTCGTTTGTGGCAAGTTAGCTTATGATATAAAATAATCGCGTATTCTTAAGTAGTGTCAAGGTTTATGAAGATAACTTATATTTTATATAAAAAGATTTTGTTTTCTATCCCAGCACTTGGCGAAGCAGTTAAATTAGCCAAATCTCTGGTCAAGTTCCCGCAAAATGCATTAATTATGGATAAGTTGGCTGCAGTAAACTCCCAACTGAACCCCAATAGTGAAGAGAGCATGAGAGAAGAGGCGATCATTGCCAGCCTGCTCGGAGGTGCTATTCAAGACATAGATGAGGGTGTCAAGAAATTCCAGAAAGGTTAGATCACAAAATACTAGTATACAGGGTGTTTTGTGTTTCCAAGCCACAAAGATATTTAAAAACATCATATTAACTGAATTTATTTGTTTCTATACAGATTTACATTTAACTCAAATTTGTTTTTATAAAGGCTGTTTTTTTTTTAAGTTATTGATCACACATTTTTGATAATTACCAGAAATTAGCATCTTTTTTTAATAGATTAACTAAGTTAAGTATGATTTACAGACGATTTATTTAAATTAAATTGCGTTTTTTTTTTTAAGGTATTGGTAAACACGGCAAGTTCTACAGGTTAACAGAAGTTCCGTTGAAGGATTGGGAGCTTGAGGAAACATATGAAGAAGTTACAATACAAACTGATAAAGGGGAAAAGAAACCTTAAGTTTTAATATAAGTTAGCATGTATAAATTGTTTGTACTAAATATTTCTAGTCGCATAGTCAAGACTTAAAATAAATGTAGGCCTTAAATATGCCCTTTATTCTGTAACCTTGCCTTCGGACAGTCTGAAGTGTGGATTGTCAGTGTTATGTTAACCAATGGTATGTCAATATTCAAGATTTGATCTTTCTAGTATTATATTCAGGTTGTTGTGTTAAAAATATTTAATTTATATAAAGTTATTTTCGTAAATTAAAGTTGATTAACTGTGGGTTTCTGAGGTTTGAATCTCCGTTTATCTTGTTATCTCTGTTATGTCAAGAATGATAGGGATGGCGATATGTTTTTTGGAGATTTTGATCTCAGAAGCCAACAGTTAATGATAAAAATGGTTATTGGTAGGTTTCAATTTTCTTGTTTTTTTTTTGTTATCTATATTTGAATACGTAATTAAAATGAAACGTTTTCTTGTAATAAAAATTTTGTCGTACACAATTACTTATTTTTGTATTAATTAGTTAAGTTACACATTGTTAGTGTTTTAGTTAATGTAACTTGTACTGAATTTAGAATTAATAAACAATAAAAGTTGGTTTACTTATTTTTTCTTTTCAAATTTTGCTATGGATTTAAAAAAAAATTAACAGTGGTAGAGCCCGCTTTAACATGTTCGCACGAATCGGCCCGGTTCGCCCGGTGAAATACCACGACCACACAGAAGACAGGCATCAAGTGGAAGCAATTCCGCGTTTCGTCTGATGAGTGTGCGTCCCGGAGGCCTAATTTAGTCCTCTTTCCCTTACCACCCTCTTTCTTATAAGGAAAGGATGGGAAGTGGACTTTCCGGATGAGAGGATGCATGGAAAGGGAAGATATTTTGTTTCTGTGCATCCTCTCCTCCGTCGATTAAGGGTAGGCAACGCATGCAATTGCGTATGTCTATGGGCAACGGTCACTTAGCGATTTTAGGTGGCCGCTCGCTCGTTTGCTACCTTATGATATAAAAAAAAATCTGTAGCTAACATGGTAATGATGGTAAACGAAATTTAAATACCAACCTAATGTCGCTAAAATCGCGAAGTAACACTCAAAGACATTAAAAAGTTAAAAATCCATTGCCTAATTTTAATTTCTTTGACAAATATTTATCATGTTTTATAGGGCTGTCACCAATAAGAATTATATGAAAAGTTTAATGAATTTATAATAATAAAGAATTTAAAAAGCATCATCTGACAGTCCCTTCTCTGCTTGATATTTGTAATGCAGATCGGAGCAGTCCTCATTGGAGATGTTCACCCAACCATTCTCACTAATGTGGTACACTCGGATGATACCGCCTGAGTACGCGTCACGATGTGTCGCGTGGTAGATGGCGCGGCGACCCAACTCTGGAAAACCAAAATGGCAACAATCAAAATTAACATAAAATATTCAAATTATGGAACGTCCTGTAAATTGTTGCTTTTAGTTTTCTAACTTTATGCGTCAAATTGTATGCTTTGTTTAAATGTCCATGTTTAGAAAATTAAAAAAAAATTGATAATTTATCGGGGAAATAAAAAATGAAGTTAGTCATAACTTGAACCAAAAGCTAATAAATATCCAATTTTAAAGTAAGTAAGACAGGATATTATATAAATGAATGAGATAAACATACCTTGTGCTTCCTTATCCTCAAGATCCCACTTGTATCCAGAGTCAAGTACACCAAATGCATACACGGACCCTGAGCCCACAGAGAATACGGTTCCTGGTGTTCTTGTACCTTCACTGTCCACATAGTACAGCTGTGCACCCTAAAATAAATATTATTGTAACTAGTGTTAAGAAAATCTGACAATGTGCCGGTGTACTGGCGCAACACTAGCCTTATTAAAATGTCAATGTTTATGTCCCCTCACTAATAATTCTGACACTTGACTTTGTAAAGAAAAGTGCGCCCGCGCCAAAGGATTCTAACTAATAATGTCTAAAAGTAGCAAGATACATATATGAAACGCTGCAAGAAACTGAAGTACCAAAATCAAACAATCGATAAGCAAGATACTTCTACAACAAATGCTTTTCGAACTTTTTAAAAAACTATTCGATAACAAGATACTTTCAAGATCCACCACAGTGACATGGGAATGACATACAAAAAGAAATCCTATGGATACGAAATTAACAGAAAAGGAGACTTAGTACCTAGAAATATTGAAAGATTCTTTGATATCTTGTAACATTTTATAATAAACAATTGAAAATAGCAATAGACTAGGTGAGAGGAAGTAATTTATGTGTGGTGTGCATTTTGCCAGTCAGTAGGACAGTGCTGGCTTGGCATAGACTATTTTGTCTCACTGGCACTGGTTTGTGTTTACATTATATCAGTGCTAATTTTGAGCAGTAGTTAATGTAAACTAGGCATTATGATGTTCTAAATTAACTTACTCTCTTATCAAAACCAGCTAGCATCATTCCCATACTGAGTCCCATGCCTTTGTAGTTATACACCATGTTGGCCATGAGCTTACTGGCTGCGGCCACTGAGATGCGCTCACGGTTACGTAGTTCGTATAGACGACATTGCTTAGCGAGTACACGGTCCCAGTAAACGCAGTCCGCAGCACCACCCGCCAAAGTACCTGGACACATATAAAGATATTATAAAGAGAACATTTGTGTTCAAAATCTTAACAAAAAAGTAACCTAGGATATATAAAATAGTTTCCTGCAACTTAGCAATTGGTAGAACATCAATAATTTGAACTTCATGAATAGTATTATTTTTGTTCATTTGAAAAGTTAACTTACCCAAAAGGTAGTCATTGATTTCTACAATTTTCTTCATTGTCTGAGAACCAATGAACTGACCACCAGTGGCACGGGAATCCACTGCCAATAGAACTCCTCCCTAAACAAAATATTTATCTTAAAGGATAAAATATTTACCTAAATACCTCCATTTCCATACATAATTTTATACATTTTTGGATGATAGTTTTTTATCAGGAAGTTCACTAATGAAAAACCATTGCTGGGTGAACCATGAAAAACACGAAAAATGCTACATACCTTATACCGGAATCCCAAAGTTGTTGTTCCATGGTCGAACTCAATTTTAATATCTCGTCCAGTCTCATCCTTTGAGTTAAACTGTGCTAACGTTTCAACCGGCTGTAATAGAAGATGGAAGTATTAAAATTATGCTGATATATAGAATAAATATATTTATTTAATAAAAAATAACCTGAACTTACATTCGCAAACGGTGGAGTCGCAAGTTGAGCGCTGTTCATAAAGTTTTGACTGTATCCGATAATATCATTTTGAAATGAAGCAAGGGAATCAACGGGTTTTAAATTAATCTTTTCGTCAAGACGGCAGAAATCTAGTAAAGCCATTGTTTTAAAATTTGAATGAAAAAGTTTAGATGATTATTACAAATTCGGATGACAAGCGAAATCTGAATACAAAAATGTTTGACGTATGATTTTAATGTTGCTCGCAAGCTAACCCTTATTACATATGGCAATACATTTTTATGATTTTTTAGAGTTTTTCTTTAATTATCGTATTAAATCGTTAATTCTTTGTTCTGATTTTTTAATTTTTGAAACAAAGTAAAAGTGAAAATATAGTGGAAACGTAGTTTTCTTATCAAGATTAGCATTGCCATCTAGCTGCAAATAGTTTCAATGTATTCCATGTTGTAAGTGCAAATCTTCGCCACTAAGTGACAAATTCTGAAGGAAAAACGGCAAATCTTATTTTTTTACGCTACGGGCTTTTGATTATCAAAACCTTGGACATAAATAAATATTATAAATGTTATGAAATATACAAAATAGTTACATTAAATTTTTTCATTTTTCAATCAATTTAACTTTAAATTCTACCTACTCACCGATAGATGGCGATATAAGCTGAAAATAATAATTTTATCATTATAACAGTAAAATGTATTTTACACACTTTATAATTAAACAAATCATAAAGTTATAACATTTTAATCTTAATAATAATTCTAGTTTACTTAAAAAGAAATATAGCTATAAAACAGGAAAAAATGTTAAAATAAAGGTACTTAACTCTTTTACGGTTTATCCGCTTCAATTGTAAAAACTATAAATGCTAACATTTTAAACAGATAATTATGAAGGTAAACAAGAGAACAATCGTATAAGATTCAAGGAATTGGCTAACGATAAGTAGTGATAAGTTACCGAACCTATTATTACTATGAGTCAGTCGAGGGAAGTCAAGGGAACAGCGTTGTCGATGCGATGCGATGCGATCTATAATATCGATTAAATTGGAAGACTTTGCATAATGTCTGTCATTAAGGATGCCTCGATACTAGATAATGTATACTAGACAATTATAATATGACATGAATCGAAATGCAATATTACTAATATTATAAACTAGATGTCGCCCGCGACTCAGTCCGCGTGGATATATAAAAACTTAATTAGTGTAGCCCACTCATCAATCCATCCACATCACATCCATCTAAACATTCGCATTTATAATATTAAATTAAATAAAAAGCAGCTCTTCAAGGCGTAATTCGAAAATAAATAAATAAATAGTATCCTATGTCCGTCTCCTGGCTCTAAGCTACCTCCTCACCAATTTTCAGGCATATCGGTAAAGCCGTTCTTGAGTTATAAATAGTGTAACTAACACGAATTTCTTTTATATATATAGATGCGAATGTTTTGATGGATGTTTGTTTGAAGGTATCTCCAGAACGGCTGCATGCATCTTGATGAAATTTGGCATACACATAGAACATATTGTGGAAGAACACATAGGCTACTAATTATGTTTGTTATTAATACCGTCGTTGGAGTCTTGGGCGACAACTAGTCTACTATATAGAAGTAATGAGTTATTTATGAGCTTGAAAATAGCGAAGTGATCGTTGCACATAGATTGCATTTACAGTTGCGTTGACTACCTTTAATCGACGGATGACAGAAAGAGTATACATCCCCGTTTGCTTCCCTCCTCTGTAACCCACTTTCCTTTCCCATCCCTGATAAGAAAAGGGAAGGGGAAGAGGACTAAAATTAGGATCCTAGCATGCATGTGTTTTTACTTGTTTTATTATTACTTTGTGTTAATATCGTTGGTAATTAAATAAAGACCTAAATTTTATAACTCAAAGATACAATTTGGTTCATATTGTCTCATCGTTAATGTGTTTCGTCTTCGCAAGACGCATATAT